GCGCGACATGATGTTGTCGATGTGTCCTCGGATGGTAGGTGGTGCATTCGCCTTACCCCTGGTGACTGCGTTAGTTGCATATTCCATAATCGAGCTCCAATACATACCAGAGCATATCTACCACGTATCTAGATGCACGCAAAGCGACTTCCTTTAAGATCTTTTGTCTACCATATTCCGTTATGTGATATTCGGACATCATTCCATGTGCCTGTAAGAGTCAGCCTTTTATGTAAACCACTGAGTGCAGGAGGTGTACGTACTTCAGGATGAACAATGACATTTAGCAAGAAAACTGAGAACAGCCATTTTGAAACCAGAAATCTTCTAGTAGGGAAATGTGTCTTTGGGTCAATCTTCCGCAGTATGGCATTTCCAAGTTCAATGAGACCTTCTGGAACTCCTCCAGCACCTGGATCATCCACAATCTGGAAAAGTCCCTGGACTGCGGCTGTGTAGAACTCATCTGCAGCAATGGAATCCTTGGCATTTCGCGGCTCCACATGGATACGGGTACCAGCCTGGTCCTCGGCTTTTTCCAAAAGGAAGGCTCCATCTTCAAGGATTTTCATAAGATACCATTCCATATTGCTGCGTCCTGACCAGTCTCGCATGGCAGTCCAAACATTGAGAACGCTGCAAAGAAAAGCTTCCGCATTGGTTTTGGCCTCATTGATCAACCTTGCGCATGTAGTGGCCCAAACATCAGTTCTCCGGAGATCCTCAAGGGAGTCTGGACCAGCTGAGTTTGCAAAACACGTATGAATCAAAGCAGATAAGGGATCATGACGCTGGAAGGAAAGCAAACGCTCAACTGCAGAGGGAGCTTGAGGAGAATTTCTGTGGTTTGCAGCAAGACGGCCCTTGGAACGGGTGTGAAATGGCAACACAGAATCCACGGCTTCCAATCCTTGATGGAACACTGTCAGCGCAGTAAGTTCATTTGGGGCGAGGCTCGAAATTCGGCTGGCTAAATAATCTGGGTTCGTCCTGATCTTGGTTAAGAATCCAAGAAGGGTATCGCGGGATCTAATGGGTATCTCATGCATAAAAGTCGATAAAGGCGTAGTCTCTTCGCCATCTCCAGGAGCTGGACGTCCGCTTTCCAAATCGGGTTCCAATAAAGCATATCGTCGTGTGGCATCGCATGAATTTCGAACATCGTGAATGGCATTATACAGATTCGCAAAACTTTTCTTCTCGTCGGTCCTAAAATTGTCAACAAGGGTTCTATGTGCCAATTCGCCGCATCGTGCCAGACGTGCAGAAAGGGCAGTAGAAACAAGAGATCTTTGCAAGCGCAATCGGGAATGGGTCCTTTTCTTCTCCTGGTATGTGGAGAGGCGGACTAGATGTGCAAGTTCTTCCAAAGTTGTAGATGCAGTAGAAGCTGTCACTACCGCTATCTGCGGATTCGTATACTGTGAAATATCTTGGAGCAAAGGTGGGTGGGGAGGCTTGCTGGGAGAAGGAATGGCTTCTGGGAGGTTCTTGGGCATCGGGGAGCCATCTCGTCTTCGAGGAGCGGGAGAAGGTGAAGGCTGTCGCGATCTACTTCGAGTCCTCTCCCGCTCGGAGGGTGTCTCCTTGTAGGATGTTGGGGGCCTGCTAGGGCTTCTGGACTGGTACCGGTGGAGTCTTGGAAGGGAAACATGATTATCGAGAGGAGAAGGGGTCGGGCTTCGCGAAGAGAGTTGTGTGATGGTAGGAGAAACAGCTGCGATTGAAAATTAGTACATGGCATGCAAGTTTTGCGAGAAGCTGGTTGAATAACAAAGCTGCGCTTCTGGCAGATTGATAACATACGAGGAGATGCATGTGCGGGCCCGGGAAGGGAGAGGGAACGCTGCATGGATATCATCGCTCCATCTGGTGGGCGCTTTTCTGCGATCTCGAGCAACAGCTTCGAGATGCGAAAGCAAGCAGTTTAGAAGGGAAGGTTGGTGTTGTTGTTGCGCAAAGCCGTCGAAAACGACGAGGCGAAAGAAGGCTGAACCGCGAAGAGGGGAACTATCTCGGCTGGGAGAAGAGAGATAAGAAAAGCTTCAACACCATCAAGCGCGAGCAACAAGTATTGCAATATTGAAGATTTGTGGCTATCGCGAAGTAAAGATGCAGAAGAGTTGGGACGAGTGTTCTGCAAGAAGAGACAGAAATCCATCTCGCTGGTCGTGGTCGTGGATCACCACGCTGTCGCCAGCGCAGTCGGACGAACCTTGCAGCGCTGGTCCAATGAAAAGCAGCAGAGCTGCTCCTGTTAATACAGACCTGGAGTGCGCTAGCCAGGGTGTTCAGGGTTCAAGATGTCCACTGGCTGGCTTCTTGCCCAGTGCCACTTCCCAGTGCTTCGTTCGTCGTTCTCCAATCCTCTGTGCTGCTGGGGCGAAGAAGACTCGAAGGCGACTGCTTTCAGCCTCCTACAGCTGTAATCTGCAAGATGGATGCAGCTAATGCCGGGGGACGACAAGCTTCTCTGGTGGCGCGGAGGCTGGATGGACTGCCTGGAGAGGTGCTGAGTGAAGGACTCATCCGTCTTTCTCCGCATGGCTGGGAAAACATCGCGACTCGATGAGACGAGATGGATTGTCCGATTGTTCCTTACCCAGCTGATGGCTGATAATCAAGAGGCTACGCAAGCGCAAGCGCAATGGCAAAACATCAAGTGGTGGAAGTGCATCCTCCGCCTCCTTTAGTTATTTTGCCAGCTTGTTGTTCGAGTTCCACCTCATGCCTTTGAGACGGAGGCAAATAACGGTCCGCCATCGCATCTCGTTTTGACTCGTTGACGAGAAGGCATGTGCTGGACGACTGCGACGGTTCCAGACAGAATCAATACCACGGAACCCTTGGCTTATATTATTCGCCGTGCTGCTCTTCCACCACTCGATTTTGTGATCCCAACCGTTTTCCATCGGCATTGCATACTTGCATACATCCTGGAACGTTGACAACTCATACTACATGCTTTAGTGGCAGCACGTATTCAAGCGCTGTTCGACAGGAACACTTTCTTATTTGATCATTTTATCTTTGGCTATTTTTACTAGAGCCATCCATGCACTGCGCATTTGGATGATGCATCCTTGATGTGACAACAAACTCATGGGAGCCTCAGTTCATACCGAGCAAGACGAGGCGATTCACGTGACCATGTTGTTATCCACTGATGTTTAGGTACAGATTGGGCACAGTCACACTTTGAAGCTGTCTTGTGGATTATTTAAAATTCCTTGGGCTTTGGTCCTTTGCGTACATACGGGGATGCCGGACTGAGCGACTACTGGGAAGATCACATGACGGATTTTATCTGCCGTCACAATCACATCCTTTGCATGAGTCCTGTGCTTGGAAAGAACCAGCGAGCTCAACGTCCCGAGGAGGCTTGGGTGCCGGTTGTGCTAGAACAATGACCTCTTTCATCATTTTCTGTCTTTCTCAGCTCCGCATCAGACCGCTCCCTTTGATTCAAAAGAATGGCATTGTTTCGATTGGATCTGTTTACATCAGAACAACCAACACTCAACGTTTACTTTCTATTTCAACAGCCATGCCTTTCCAAGCCTCCTTACCCGTCTTCAACCAGTCCTTTCAGTGAGGCAACGTACCTACAAAATGGTAAGTTCATAAACCGCACCGCAGTTCTCAGTGTCTGCCAATTATCAAACCCCCTCCCGAGCAGCGAAGATGTACCTCAGCATCGCCACAACTATTGCGCTGATAGCGTTGACAGCTGGTATACCAGCAGTCAACCCAACTTCCGCCCCAAAACTAACATTACCAGAGCATCTTCAGAACTCTAAAAGCACCTCGACTCGTCACACATCTACTGCTACTCACAGTGCTCATGCAAAAGCTAACCCTGCAGCCAACAACGACTCTTCGTGGTCACACAACAAAGCCTTCTATGTCTTCCTGATTTGCCTCTGTGTTTTCCTCTTTGTTGTCACTGCAGTGATCGAATACCGCAAATGGGCTAAGAAACGCAAGGTGAAGGCTGAAGCTAATCGGATTAAGAAAGAGGCTGTGGATACGGATTTGGAGAGGAGGTGTACGTCGAGTGAGAGAAGTAGTGGGAGTGAGGAGGGTGGAAATGGCGTTTCGGGAGGGGAGAGGCTGGATCGTGCGAGCACTGTGTAAGTTATGCTTGAGGGGAGGATAGTGAGAGTGGTATATGAGGTAGGTTGAGGAGTGAGCGATAAGGTGACGATGATGGATTTTAAACCAAGAGGTCGTTCATCGTTGGCAGTATCATAGCACACGACTAGCATCTAACAGTACTTACCCCTTTCCCCTTACGCTGGGAATGCTCAAGTATCAGTCTTTAGCTGCTTCATTTCAATTCCTTCATTCAACCTTAGCGCTAGACTGACAAGCTTGCTCTAACCCTTTAAGTCAAATAATGAATATTCAACTCTACCTTAAATTACAAACCTTCCGTGCAATATAAATTCATTCTTAGGTTCAACTTGAGATCAGATGAAAACGGACTTCAATAACTGTGAATAAAACGCGTTTTCTTCATACGGGATATTTCCTTATGTGTCCTACACTATGACTGCTGACTTGGCGCTCTTCAAAAATACCAAAATGACCACAAATCTAATCCGCAACCCGTTTTATGAGAAGGAGACAAGAAGAGTGGTCTTTAATTCTGACGATATTCTTGATAGCAAGAGTGGATCTTATTACAAAAGAAAGGAAATGTGATCCCAGCCCCGCTTCAGTTCTCCTCCCTCAGCCAAGACATATCGCAATTACACTTCTCCAACACAACTAGAAATACCTCACTCGCAATTCAGGTAGCTGTAGCTTACAATGAAGCTAAAATCAAGCCCGTAGAGTAATACTGAAGTCTTCCACTTCGCTAATTCACAACTCGTTTTTTTGCCCACCCAAATAATATCTGCTTCCATTTCGCTAAACAAAAACTAAGGATGAAAAATTCCCCTACCACCCTTTATAATCCCCCAATTAGTACTCCCACATCAATGAAGACAGGGTCCTTGATGGTCTGTCTAGCGGTCATGATTTCCACTTGTCATGATAATGGCAATGTGGGGGAGACCGGGGTTCGACTCCCCGTCGAGGAGATATTCAGACTCTCATCGATCTACATTCCCTTTTGCCTTTTTGGAACTGTGACTTTATTCCTTGACTAGGAATCCATTTAGGAAGCATTTAGGAAGTAGAGGGAGAAAGGTATTAAGGGGAAAAAAGGTGGAGATGGGAAGATGGAAGGTGAAATTATGGATTTGGTAAGTTGACTTGAATCATTCATGTTTAGCGAGCGAGTTGAAAATCCATGGGAGCAAGAATGGTTGCAAGAACAAATATTCATTTTGGTATCCCTAACACTAATCTAAACCAATCCATTCTGCATCCTCATCCTCTTCATCGCTCCCATCAGCCATAGTTTCATCTTCACCAATGACACCATTTCCAATCCTCTTGACGCCGTTTTCTGCTGCTTTCGATGAAGGCTGGCTGAGGAGATAGTCTATAGTGTAGACGTTCTCATCCGCCAGTCGCCTTAATTCGTCTCTGATTTTGCCTACAGCACGCGCGACGACCCGGAGTTCTGCGTCAACCGAGCCTCTATTGTCGCTGACCCACTGTCCGTGGGATACTAGTATCGCCTGTACCCACAGTAAACAAAACTCCAAATGCGGCGACTCTTCAGTTTGTAAAGCCACGAAGCGGAGAAGCCGGGGGATATAGACCGTAGGCAATTCTGAAACCACTAAAGAGATGTTGGAATGCGGTATAGCTTCGAACACCTGCTTAAGCAGGGGAGCCTCGTTGAGTCGGAATGCCATTACTAGAGCTTTGAGAAAATCCTTTTCTTTCTGCAGAACATGAAGCGTTGACGAGGGTGTTATCGCTAAGTCGAGATCAATGGGGTCGAAGAGTGGTGTCGTGTCCAGAGAATAGATAAGTAGACCTTCTGTTGAAGCTGCGCAGAAAGATCTTCCTGTAGGTGAAAAGGAGACGCTTGTTACTCTAACTTCTGGCATACGTTTCCGTGCGCTCGGATCACCGCCCCTTGTCGAGCCAGGAAGCGTTCTATCTATTCTGTCTTCGAGATCGGAAGCTTCGCCCTGTTCATCGATGAGGCCAGCGGGACCAGCTTCAGTTAGGAGTTTGCTGTTTAGGAACTCTTGCGTGCCGGAGAGGGAGAGGTTGATGCTGACTGTGTAGCGTTTGAGGAGGACGAGGGAGGAGACGGAGTACAGACAGATGTATTTACTGTTTCCTCCTGCTAAGATGCACGACCCATCTGCGGAGTAGCGGATCGTGTTGAAGGATTTGTTTCCCGCTGCATTTGCTGCAGTTCTCCGGTCTGTTACTTTCCTTCCTCCAGAAACATCGCGACGGCCGTCAACGCCAGATTGCTGTTCTGCTTCGGACACGGACCAGAAGGTGAGCTGGCCGTCGAGGGTTGAAACGGCGAGTTGACGGGAATCGGGGCGGAAGGCGAGGGAGAGGACGTCGGCTTGGAGTTGGAGGGGTTCGGAGGTTTGGGTGCGATCGAAGACGGACCAGATGCGGACGGTGTGGTCCCAGGAGCCGCTTACAACTACGCCGCCGTTGGGGGCGAATGCGAGGGTTGAGACGGGACCTTCGTGGCCTGCTAGGCGGTCGAGGAGTTGGCCGGTTTGGACGGACCAGATGTGGATATCGAAGGAGTCGAGGGATCCGGCACAGACGACTTCACCGCTTGGGTCGACGGCTAGACATGAGAATGAGAGGCGGGTTGGTGCTGTGAAGGTCCGGAAGTTTCGATATCTGATTAGATCCCATGCTCTTATTGATCCGTCCAGGCTTGATGTGAAGAGTACGTTGCCTCGTTTTGCGAATTCGCATGCTGTCACGCCACTCGTATGTTCCGTAAAGGTAACAATACAGAATCCTGAGTTAACATCCCAAACTTTTATTTTTCCATCATCTGCTGTAGTGACGATCTTTTGTCCATCTGGGGAATATGCCAAAGCATTCATCGAGTCGAAATGGCCTTGTTGTTTCAAGATATACGACTCCGATTGCCATTCCCAGACCAGAAGTTGCCCCAATTTTGAAGCACCAAATGCCAACCATTCGCCCGACTTGTTGATTGTAACAAAGTCGATATCATTTTGAGAAATGCTCAAAGTGTGTATCATATTAAACTCCGGCATTTCATATAGGCCAAAAACTCCGTTCGAAAACCCTGCCACCAATAAATTCGATGCCGCATGAAACGCCGTACAGTTGACTTTTGCATTATTTTGCAAGAAATAGTGTCGCTCTTTTATCCTCCATCGTTCGTGTGTATCATCATCTACCATCTCGTCCGCGTTTGGATCTCCCATATATGCCCATTGGAATACTGCCCCATCTTTGCTAATTGTGTAGATCGATTCTTGGTCTTCTGTGAAATATGCGCCGAGGACTGCTTCTCTATGCCCTGCCAATGTCGTTGGTACGAATCCTTCTTCTGGGTCCAAGCTCCATACTCGAGCCGTTAAATCTTTCGCCGCACTTAGGAAGAATCGCGAATCGTGAGTCCACTCTAGACTTTGTACTGTATCGTAATGCCCTGCGTATACTCTATGACGTATGAATGGCGCAAATTCTAGCTCCCCATCTACGTTCTGGTCTGGTGTCGAGGGTGTATGCCATACTTCAATATGTCGTCCAACTCCAGCAGCAAAATATCGTCCAGAGGGTGAGAAGGAAAGTGCCGTGACAGGTCCTTTAAATGAGAAATGGTGTAATACAATTCGTCGTGGGACATTGGTCAGGATTGCTTTGCCATCTTCGTCAATCGATAGAAGTAGATTACCCCGCGGCGTGAGGCCTATCCGGGCTATATTTTTGCGGTGTGTGAATGGCAGAGTATGAGATTTGTTACTGATTGATATTAGAAGAATCCAAAAGAATTTGAGAATAGAAATTGTACTTGACAAGGTCGAAGACAGTTACTCGATTTCCTACTGGGGAGAAGAGACATGCGCCATCAGGACTGAAAAGCAGGTTTCCCTGGCTGTAAACAGTCCCCAAAAGATTGGAGAACTATCAAATCAATTAGAATCATATGCAAGGGCTTGGCATGCGCGAATTGTTACCTTGAACTCCGTTTTCATTGTCACCGGCGCATCAACATCTCTGTTGCTTGTTATCCAGAACTTTTTTTTATCGCTATCGCCGAATTTCCAGAGGGTCTCGGATCGGCCAAAGGTTGTTCCGCACAACTTTCCTAGCGTGGTCTGGGGTGTTCAGGGGCAGGTGCGAATTTCCTCAAGAAGCGACACCAGAACAGCACACCGACAGCCTCCCACCACCTCTCCTCCTAACAGTAAACTCCTCCGCAGCATCACCTCTGCGCACGGCCAAGTCTCGATTACTTTCAAGAAGTTCTATCACACACATCCACAATGGCTCCTCCTACAGCAGAAAGCGCGTCCCCAATTGGGATTGCCAATTTACCCAACCAGCGTCACAAGATTGTCGCAAAGAGAGGAGCAGCTTTCACTATTATGGTGCGAATCTGCCATTCTGAGCTGACGTTATTTCGGAGCCATGTGCTAATTGATCATAGGTTGCTGGTGAATCAGGATTAGGAAAGACTACTTTCATCAACACCCTTTTCTCCACAACAATCAAGAACTACGCCGATCACAAGCGCAGACACGCAAAGCAAGTTGACAAGACCGTCGAAATCGAGATCACTAAGGCAGAGTTGGAGGAGAAGTTCTTCAAGGGTGAGGATCAAGGAGCCTGCGAATCTGTAGTAGTTTCTAATGCTGTATAGTTCGCCTCACCGTTATCGACACCCCAGGTTTCGGAGACTATGTCAACAACCGAGACTCTTGGATGCCAATTATCGAATTTTTGGATGACCAGCATGAGTCGTATATGTTGCAAGAGCAACAACCCCGCCGTGTGGACAAAATTGATCTCCGTGTACACGCCTGCTTGTACTTTATCAGACCTACCGGACACACCCTGAAGCCATTGGATATTGAGGTCATGAAGAGACTGAGCTCCAGAGTCAACTTGATTCCAGTTGTTGCGAAGGCAGATACCCTCAGCCAAACTGATTTGGCCAGATTCAAGCAAAGAGTAGGTGGTCTCGTGCAAGCGGTGAGGACTAAATATACTGATATGTGAACAGATCCGAGCTGTTATTGAAGCCCAAGGAATCAAGATCTACACACCACCTGTCGAGGAGGACGATGAGGCCGCCGCCCAACACGCCCGAAGCTTAACGACCGCCATGCCATTTGCCGTTATTGGTTCCGAGAAGGATGTCAAGACTAGCGATGGACGTATCGTCAAGGGTCGCCAATACTCCTGGGGTGTTGCTGAGGTGGAGAACGAGGACCACTGCGATTTCAAGAAACTCCGATCGATTCTCATCCGAACCCACATGCTCGATCTCATCCACACCACCGAAGAGGCACACTACGAGGCTTACCGTGCTCAGCAAATGGAGACGAGGAAATTCGGCGAGGCTAGACCAAGAAAGCTCGATAACCCCAAGTTCAAGGAGGAGGAAGAGAGTCTCCGAAAGCGATTCACTGAGCAAGTCAAGATTGAGGAGCACCGATTCAGACAATGGGAGCAGAAGCTCATTAGTGAGCGTGACCGCCTGAATAAGGATTTGGAGAGCACCCACGCCGCCATCAAGTCCTTGGAGCAGGAACTCGAGCAAATGCAAGGAAGCGCCGTCCGCAGCCACGGTCGTCGTTAAGTCATGACTTGAGATGATGACGAAGACGCCTGGTGTGTGGAAAGTGGAGCTAAAAGTTGCACTTCACGTTTGGATGGTGTTTGCTGGATGGAGTGTTGCAAGCGGGTCAAAGCAGCACGGTTCTCTTTCTTCTTGTTGCTGCCTACCAAATTCCCCCAGAAGTTCAGGAGGTGGGCAGCTTAATTCCTGCTAGCTAGCTTTCATGGACGTATTTTTCTTAGCTTTAGCCACGATGTAATTCATGCTTCTCTACGTACATCCCGTTTCTCATCACTGAAGAACCTAAATCCCAAGTGAAGTTCAAAGTAGCCAATTGGTTTTGAGAATGTGACTCTTCTTACTCATGAGGCACATGCT